AAGTTCTTCTTTGGCTATCTCTAGGAGGATAAAGTACAAAGAAAAAAATGGGCGGTGGTGAGGGAAGTGAAGACATTATTACAAAGAATTATTTGGTGGGGGGAAACTCTTTCTGCACATCCATAGACACATTCCTTAATGTGCTGTAAATAATGGCTGAAAACTTTTCTTTAAAAAGAAAAAACATTTAGAGAACACCTACTTTGAGTTACTAAAGCTGAAATCATACCATTCATATTATATTACTACTTCCTTATGAGTAAAGCAGATTTTTTGAGTTTCATGGAAAACTAACCTATTTTTCTAGGAGAATGCATTCTATACAAAATGTGCTTCCAGCTCAAATTTTCAACTTAAGAAATTATCAGAACCATAACAATGATAACAGCTTCTATGGTCAGTTTGGTCGTCCTCAATTTTTTTTTCTGCTCTCCAGGGACTTTCCGCTCCTCTCCTCTACTGTGATTCTTACTCAAAGATATGACTTATTTCACAGAGAAATACAGAATAAATAGAAACTGACGCCCCACCCCCACTTAAATGGCAAACCTTGTAATCACACCCATCAGTTCCTCCTTTCCCCAAGGCCTTAACAGAGGAGCTGTCCCTCTTCCAACTTAGGGTAAATCTGTGCATCTGGGCTGTAGACTGTATCCCTTCCTGCCTTCCAAGCAATTAACACCCGGATTATCTTTTCAATACTTTAATCTCAACATATGCCCCAATACTGGATTCTGTCCATTGGCTTTCAAGAACATTCACAAGTACCCTATCTTAAAAGCAAACATAGTCAACCTCCCTCCGCACCTCTTTCTTACAGAGCTATTATCTGTCTCTTCCCCTTTAGTAGAAACTTCCAGAAAAAATGTTGTCTTTACTTGTTGTCTCTCTTTCTTTACCTTCCATTGACTCTTCAGCCCATTGCAATCTGGCCTCTAGCCCTGTTCTTCCACCACTCCACTGAATGACTCTTGGAAAAGTCAACTCTCAGTAACCATGGTACCACCAAGTCCAATTGTATTCCAGGCCTCATCCGAGTGGAACTTTCAATGGTGCGCCACGCTTGTTCAGAGCTTCCTTTTAGAAATTCCCCCTCTCCTTGGCCTTTATGACAGTGAGCTCTCCTCATTTTCCATCTACTTCCCCAGCTGCTCATTCAAAAAGTCTTTTGTTAGCTCATAAAATTGTCAAAGACAATCCAGTCTTTAAAGGATCCTCGACATCCTACCTGGGCCTCCTGAAATTCCCTCAGCAATTTCATCCATTCCTTCCACTTGGATTGCCATCACATCAGCGACTCACAAACTTACAATCTCCAATGCAAACATTTCTGTATTCCTAATTCATCTGATTGTCTCAAAGAGACTGGAAACTGCACCTAACCCCAATCTTATTCATAATCTTCCTTCCAAATTAGCCCTTTGCTAGTGTCCCTTTGCCTACATGAAGGCTATTGTACCTATCAGTGATGAAAACCTGAAACTTTTTATTTTATTTTATTTATCTTTTTTTTTTTTTTGTGACAGAGTCTTGCTCTGTCACCAGGCGCCAGGCTGGAGTACAATGGTGCAATCTCAGCTCACTGCAACCTCCACCTCCTGGGTTCAAGCAATTCTCCTGCCTCTGCCTCCCGCATAGCTGGGACTACAGGTGCGCACCACCACACCCAGCTAATTTTTGTATTTTTCAGTAGAGACGGGGTTTCACCATGTTGGCCAGGATGGTCTCCATCTCCTGACCTCATGATCCACCTGCCTCGGCCTCCCAAAGTGCTGGGATTACAAGCGTGAGCCACCGCGCCCGGCCTAGAACCTGAAACGTATGCATCATGGTTGGTAAAACCCTCTCCTTCATTGGCTTATCCACCACCACCTGTTCTGCTATATTTTCTCAATATACCTGGAATGCATCCTTTTCCAGTCTCCATTTGTAGCTCATTTAGATGCTACTACAGTTACTTCAGAACTGGTCTGTTCATTTCTTCCCTTGTTTCACCTATAACCCATTCTACAGGCAACTGCAAGTCATCCAATAAAAACACAAAATGAAATAACATTCTTTTAGAATAAATTCAACAATTCTGAACTGTTTTGTGGCCATCGTTTAATACTTTTTGAATTATTTTTTATTGATTTCTTTCAAAGTCCCTTAAAATTTTAGCTATTTACATAAAACTATGATTAAATCTTAAGAGGCAGCACTTTTCTATTTTGGTTGCTTAAATTACATTTTAAAGATTGCCCTATTTAAAACAGTCCTTTCGAATTTTGAATATGTTCTCTCTAAAGATGTCTTTATGGATTTGATGAGTGTTTCTGTTGGTTATAATTATTTTAATTTTCCCAATTTAAAAGTAATCCAATGAAGGCAAAATCATTTAATATTATTATCTCAGACAAATAATATAGTTTTCAAATACAGTTGTAACCTCTACCCTAGCAAATGTTTTGAGTGTAGTGTGCTTCAAAATGTAGCATTGTCTTTCTTCATCTGCTTGGTTATTAAATATACCATATGACAAAAACTTCACATTGTAACTTTGTTTTAACGTTTTAGATGGGAGTTTCTCCAACATTTGAGGAATTTTCAAGGTGACTTTTAAAAGGCTAAAAAGGTAGAAAGTCAAGAATCATTTGTTTATTTCCTTCCTTGTCTGCCAGTACAAGTCAAGGAGATGGTCAAAAATGAGGCCCAGATGACACCTCCTTCATGACAGAGTCATTTGACAGAATAACCACTTTTAATAGGCTTATTTTAAATACTCATTAATTAAAATTCCAACTTTTAATGTTTTATGTTTTTCCAGTTTCACTTCATCTCTTCATACATTTCAAAAGTAGGTTAGCTCCTACTAAAAATATGGTGTTGTATTGCTTTTCTGAAATATATGGGTTTGATGTTTTCAAAAAACTTGACTAGACGTGATGTAGTTTTGAACCACCAACCCGATTCTCCATATTGCATGACTCTAAAGTCGTCTGAGGAAGTTAGTGGCTCAAATGGCCTTCTGGGAGCAATCGATTTCATCTTATTTCTGACAAAGGGATGAGAGCCTGATGAAAGGAATCGAGCAGTTACCATCCAGTCTACTCTTACTGATGGGCCACGGTTCCAATTCGACTCAGGGAGCCCCAGCTGAAGGCGTTATTTCTACAGCACCCCCTACGTGGGAGTCCAGGAAACTGGGCATTGCCCACTCACGGCCTCTGCAGGGTGTTCTGGCGGTGTGGTAGAGAGGACTCTTCCCTTCCCTGGAACTGGGTCCTACCAAGTTCAGGGATTTGTGCTATCAGGAAGAATAATGTGTTCAAGAGACCAAAATAAAATCAACCCAGGAACACTGCCAAATTCTTCCTCTGTCTATCACTTATTCTCGAACAGAGCCAGCCTGTCTCCCATGCTGGGGAATTGCAAAAATCTAAAACTGACCTCTCTCACCATTTAGTGAATCCAGTAGCAAAGGAAAAAGGTTGTTACCAAGGACAATTTGCTCTGTACCAACCCATTGGCTGGCAATTCTCAATCAGTGCGGTAGGGCTCCATTACCCAGCCCTGTGTGTGTGGAAGCGAAGGAGTCTAGAAAAACCTCAGATCAGCCAAGACCAGGGAAATCAGAGGCAGAACTTAAATATGACATTTCCTTCGGAATCCATAGTGCACCCCTTATTCGCTGGTTGGAGAAAACTGGCAGAAGCGCTGAGCTGGAGGCAGGCGTTTTCAGCACGTTGAGGCGACGGAGGAGCCATTCCCCCCGGGAAAGGCGGGGGGGAGCAGCGGGTTCGAGGTCGGGGTGGGGGCAGTCGCTCCGGAGGGCACGATCCGGTGGCTTTATTTTCTGGCCTGGCGGGTCTAGTCTGGGAAATGCACACTCAGCAGGGAAAGGGGAAGAGAGATTGGCGGCAGTTTTCTAAAAACAACACGGCTCAAGTCTCCCTCGTGTGTCCCCTCGCTCACCCCGCCGAGGCGCAGAGCGATCCAAACAGGCGCCCCGAAGCGAGCGCAACGGCCGGGTCCCCCTCGGACGCAGGCGGGCCTCGGAGACTCCAGGCCTCCCCTGCCGCCGCTCCGGCCCGGTTCCCCTTCCCTGTCAACCTGCCAGGTCCCTGAGAGGCGCCTCTCCCTCCGAGCTTGGGACTGAGGTCGGTCCGGGTCACCCTAAATCTGACGTTGCCTCTCGCCCGGAGCATCTGGGGGCTGGGACTGGCGGGGCTGCTCCGGCGGAGGCGGCGACGCGCGCGGGTGGTAGCCAAGAGCCCGGGTTCTCCCGGGGTCTGCGCTGGGCGCGGCCGGCGCCCCCACCTCGCCTCCTGCCCGCCCTTCCTGTCCCGGGCGCCGGGCTGCCCACAGCCCCTGCACTGCTCCTTCCGCTCAACGCAGGCATTTGACTCCCGGCCTTCAGTGCCCACTGCCCACCCCGCGCCTCCCAGGGGTCCGACAGCTGAAAAGGAGGAAACTGGCCGAGAACAGAGGCGCCCTGAGGGCCGAGTCTCCACCCGGGCGACCGGGGATCCGGGGGCGTGTGGGAAGGAGAAGGCAGGCTTGACCTGGGGCGAGAGGGTGGCGAGTGCGGACCTTGCGGGTGCACCTCCCAGTGGCCCGGGACCCGCCTGCACCCCGAGGAGCGCGCGTCACCGCGCCGAGCCCGAGCCGCGAGCGCAGAGTCCTGGCCTGGGGCCCGCGCACTTGGGCTGTCTTTCTCCCTGACCGCCCCTTTTTCTTCCGCCAAAACCTTTGACCAGAGTCTCCTTGCCAACATTCCTACCTCCCCTTGGCCAGCTCTTTGTGCCAGGTAGGAATCAGGCTGTACTTTGGCTGTGTGTGTAGATGCCAATTCCCCAGAAGTCGCGTGACCTTTTCACCTTACCCACAAACTCCCTGGGAGGTGGCCCGTGGGCATTGACCCCTGTCCGAGGCCTGATTGGTGGCCGCAACCTGTTTGTTCCCTGAAATGTCCTTGCTTTTCGCATCTGCACAAGCTTCCTGCAGCAGTTCTGGGAAAACTCTCGGGGATGAGTCTGGGGGGCATCCAGCGGGCTGGAGGCACGCGCCGCTGTGGGAAGTGGGGGTGTCAGGGCGAGGGCCGGCGTGCACATTGCCTTTGGCCGGGAGCGGGCACTGTGAGGGCGCAGCCAAGAACAGCCACCCCCTCCACTCTTTCCTTCCCTCGGGATGCACAGAAACAGGGGCCAGCCGACCCCTGATTTCCACCCCCTTCCCTAGCACCTGGGCTCCGAGACCATGTTGGGCGGGGTCAGGCGGCGGTTGCCCCAGCTTGGAAGGAGCAGCACCTCCCGCCCTCCGGTGTTCCCGCTGCCCCAGAGGAGCTGGCACCAAATCTCAGGAAACAATGAAGCCACCTCTGCGGCGCGCAGAGGGCACCCCGGCGAGATCGGCATCCAGCCGCGCGCCCTGATGCGGGCCAGGGAGGCCGCGTGGGGCTTCAGCCGGGCCTCGCCAGTCCAGGCTGTCTGACTCGGCTTCACACCGCAGCGACCCTAGCCCTGCTTGGAGGTGCGGCTCCCACTCCAGCCCGGCGTTCGCCTCCTTGCCCTCCAGCTCTGGGCGGGGGCGTCCAGGGGTGCCCCGCTGCTCCCCGCCACAGGTCTCAAGCTGGCGCGATGGGGAGTGGCAGAGGGTGACCCTGAGCTCCTCGCCGCCGCGGGCGCGGGCCCCGGGATTTGAAGTTGTGAGAAGCAGCCGCCACCTCCCGGGCGCTCGGCACTGCGCGGCGGCGGGATCTGCGCCTCCAGGAGCTGCCTAGCTCTCCCTCTGGGGGTGCAGAGCGAGCACGCGAGGTGGCCTGGCACCGACCTCCGCGCCCCTTCCTCCGGCACCCGCACCCACGCTCCGGGGGCGCAGACCCCCAGCGCCTTCCTTCCCGCAGAGATCCCTGCAGGGTCTCCGGGAAAGACAGACAGACGGACGGGGAGAGCACTCGGAGGGAAAGTTGTTCCTCCCAGTCTCCTGTCAGGCAATTACCAGCGAGCCCGAGCCGGGAGAGGGGGCGGGAGGAAGCGAGGGAAGGGCTCGGGAGTGGGGGAGGCCGCGGGAGGGGAGGCGGGAGTGCAGTTGGTGGAACTCCTCTGTCTCCCGCTCATCTTTTCATTGCTCGCTCCTCTCCTTCCCGCAGACACCCGGACCTCCCCGGGGCGCCAGCTCCACGGCTCCACCGGGTCCAGAAACAAGCCGGATTTTTTTTTCTTCCTGGAAATTGGCTTTGGTGTGTGCTGCCCTACGTCCCTCCTCCCCCTCCCACCCACACTACCCCCCCCTCCCTTTTTTTTGAGACATGGCCCGGGCAGTGGCTCCTGGAAGAGGAACAAGTGTGGGAAAAGGGAGAGGAAGCCGGAGCTAAATGACAGGATGCAGGCGACTTGAGACACAAAAAGAGAAGCGTTCCTCTCGGATCCAGGCACTGCCTCGCGGTTTTCCTTTCTGCAAGACGGGCTGAGGATTGTACAGCTCTAGGCGGAGTTGGGGCTCTTCGGATCGCTTCGATTCCCCTCTTTGCTGCATTTCCCTCCACGTCCTCGTTCTCCCGCGTCTGCCTGCGGACCCGGCGAAGGGAGAATGGAGAGGGGGCTGCCGCTCCTCTGCGCCGCGTTCGCCCTCGCCCTCGCTCCGGCCGGCGCTGTTCGCAACGGTAGGTGACAGGCGGAGGCGCGGGTGACAGCGGCGTCCCGGCTCCCGGCCGCCCGCCCCGGCCCGGGGCTCACGCGGGCTGCCCGGGACCTGCCGGGAACAGCAGACTCCGGGGCAAAGGAAACTTTTATCTGGAGGAGAGACGAAGAAATGAGATCAGGCGGTTTAGGGCAGGAGGATTTCAGGTCCTTGGGCTCCCTCCTGAAGTTGATCATTGGGCTGTAGGGATTTTCCTTACCTCTGTTACAAGACAGAGCTGCCTGCCTTCCCACATCAGCACGCCAATTATCTTAATAATGTTTCCTACCAAAGGCAATTAGAAGAGACTCCCTTTCAAAAATCTGATGGCTGTTGAAAGTTAATGAACACTTTACAGGAGATCTTACTTCCTGGTCCCTTTGCTGCGCCCCTAAGCCGTTTCTTCTGGTGGGTGATGGCCACAGATATCGGTTTGTGGGTTGATGAAACTCCCTCCCCCGCCTTTGAAAGCTTTCCTGATCTGTCTGGAGTATGACTGAAAGTTACATAGTATCAATACAGGAATCTGATATATACAGTGTAAGGCACCAGGATATCTGAAAATCCCTACCCTAGCTGCAGCTTCCACTTAGCCTTTAAAACCACTCACTGTTAAGTAAATGAAAAACTATACTGGGGTATAAACAGTACCATGTAACCTAAATAATGTGTTTTAAGATGGGATCTGGTTGTAGGCATGTTTGACTTCACACTGTAAAGTAAGTGCAGGCAAGGATATGCAATTATCTTTACAGTAAGTCGTCAGCAATTGTTATTAACTAATGATCAAATATTTACTTTTGTCTGGCTTAGATTTCAATCAAAGTAATTAGAAGAAAAGAACATCCACTACTTACTGTGGTATATTGTTTTAATAAGAGACCACAAGTGGAGGGCCTCATACCAACAGGAATTTAAATCACATCTTTATGATGGAAGTTAATCTCTCTAATATGCTTTTTCAAGGTTTTGTGATTTCAGCAGTGGATTTCCCTCAGCAGCTACCAAGCAGTGTTCTAAAGAGATGCTTGAAGCAAAACACATGCAAAAAAAAAAAAAAAAAAAAAATATGAACATGGAGTTCAACTTATTAATGAACCCAAGTTGATGGCATCTTTCTGGAATCTGGCAGGAAAGCAAAACACAGGAAATTGTGAATGTAGAGTTCAATTTATTAATGAACCTGAGCTGGTAGCATCTTTCTATATCCTGGCAGGGAGTGAAATAGCGTTCTTGTCCAAATGAAAGAGCTCTAATGGCTGGACTAGAAATATAGTAACCCCCTGTCCTCCACAACTCCTGAGATTAAATCCATAATGGGAGTATTTACAGGAAGGATTTGAGGCTCAATGCAAAGAGCTTTCAGACTTTAGGTTGTGAACTATGCATATATGCAGCACACACACACACACACACACACGCGCGCATGCACACACACTTCTTAATTTTCTTAGCAGAAATCTGGGGAATGCTGAAAATCTGGCTTCAGTTGGTGAGTTTGACCAGCGAAAGCCATGTTGCTATGCTTGAAGTGACCAGAGCCAGAAAATGCCTCTGTAATTCAGCAGCTCTCTTAAAGCCATGTCCACCTCCTCCCAGTAACCAGTGTCTGCTAAATTAATTCATTAACCTTATTTAGGACTAATGGTCCAGAGTCATTAGAAATTGCTCTTTCTTAATCAACTGCTAGAGAGATTTAACAGAGCCAGGGAGTCTAGCAGTCCACATTATCTTATTACACTGTCACTTTCTCAGAAGTCGCAGATTAAAGAGCTCTGGTGTGGTACCAAGTCCACCTAAATGTCTTCTGAAGTGACTCTGTCGAGTGACTAGAACCAGCGCTGTTTTATTTCACTCCTGTAACAGATGCCAGATGCTACCATGATGTTTGTCCAGAGCTGGAGGAGACTTAATGAGACGAGGTCACTTTCCAAGTTTTCTGCACATTCAAAATAATGCAAGAGTCTCAGTAGAATCACAGAGCAGAATCCAACATGATCATTAGCTGAGATTTTGAACTCCAGTTGCAACATAATTTCTTCTTGGCAAACCTTAGGCTTTTACAAGCCAATGCAAAGGAAACCTATATAAGACTACCCTCAGTCTAAGGAACAAAGGTCAGAAGCACCTAGCAACTGAGAAAAACAATATAACCTATATTGTCTTCTTTTTAATTTATGGGAAATGATTTCTGTAATGCATGTAGCTTTATGCATTTTTGATGTGCACTTCATCTTTCATTTCCATTTGACCTGGTTTTCCTGTAATAAAATTCTGTAGATTTATAAATTCACGCTGAGAGCAAAGAATGCCATTCTCTTTCCACAGGGAATCTATTAGATGCAATGTTAAAATCTTTATATGCCATTACTGAAAATTTGTGATTGATAGGCTTATATATTTCACTGCTTTCATACCTGTTTCTCTTATATAGTTTATGCCTCAAATTGTTATTGCTCAAAATTAAGCATCAATAAATGTGGCAGCATTTCAGGCTGAGGCACTCCAATATGAAATCCATCATAAAATGTGACAATGAGAATCTATGCTGAACAATAAAGCACCCAAGAGACTGGTTTATTTGGTTTATTATTTGGTTGTTTATTTGGTTTATTTGGCTTCACTTGAGCGTTTTTTGAAATGAAGGCTCAAAACTTGTTAGCTCACCTTTCCCAGAATGTGATAACGTGGGTTACCATATGTGATACCTAGACCTGTGTGGTGGGTTATTTTTCTCCCAGCATTTAGGTCATTAGAATTAATGCCATGTGGCTATTTACTTTTCTTTCTGCCCGGTTGCTTTGATCTGATCTCCAAGCCTGAACAACTTTACTTGGAGAAGTAAAGCAGAATTATTTCTGCTTCACCAAATATACTTTGTTCTCTGTTGATTTGGATCTCAAGAGCAGAGATAACTCAAAATCACTTAGATTTATGGGCAGATAAAACAACAACAACAAAAGGTTTGGCTTTAAGCCAATCAAAGGCAATCCCCACTGATCAACGACACAGACCAGGCTTATCATCAAAAAACAACACAAGGGGTCGAACAGCATCTTTCAGTCACTTTCCACTTAGAACTTGCTACTTAGTGTGATTACACTTCTTGGGAGATAATTAAGTCTAGCAGAAGCTCCCAGGGGACCGTGTTAACATCAATTGAGGGGACTTAATGTTTTTAATGCTAGAAGACCTTTTCCGTAGGAAGAAACTTCGGGGATGGGGGAAGAGTCCTTCCAGATCTAAGTTGGCTTTCTGCCTGAGTCAACCTTCCTGAGATCAAAGAGTGTCTTTTTGTGGAGCGTTACACTCAGGGCCACAGGAAGAACTGATGGGGACCTTTTAGAGTTCCTCATAAAAGGTTATGGAATGTTTAATCACTGGCAATTTATATATAAAGCTAGATTACTTAACAGGTTGTCAGGGAAAGATCTGCTAAAATCTTACCTTCATTGCAGATAAATGTGGCGATACTATCAAAATTGAAAGCCCCGGGTACCTTACGTCTCCTGGTTATCCTCATTCTTATCACCCAAGTGAAAAATGCGAATGGCTGATTCAGGCTCCGGACCCATACCAGAGAATCATGATCAACTTCAACCCTCACTTCGATTTGGAGGACAGAGACTGCAAGTAAGTGGGAATGTTTTTGAACAGGGCATCACAGCACCATCTAGTGGTCCCGGCTGTCTACGGGGGAAAGTCAGTGTGTACAGTGCAGGTTATCAATGGATCCAGGAGGGATTCCTATCCCAGCCAGATCATATGTCAATGGTATGGAAATCGAATTACCTTAAGTGATTTCTGAGTTCCCCAAACCAGGAAGATTATAGTTAAATGTGTAATCTCTCATACTCCTTCCTGTTAGCACTTTTGGTTTGGGAACTCTTTTGTTAACAAATGTATACAGTATGTATGTTTCTTTTTTCTTACTTTTTTTTCCCCTGGAGAAGGGAAGAACTGGAAAGCCACAATCTCACTCGCGTTTTTATGAAATGCAGTGGATCACTAATATACGTCGCATCCACAGAGAGTGGGATTGGAGATTTCACTATCTGAGATATTTTGAACTGCGGCACATTTTATGATTTAAGAACTGCATTCATCTGATTGAGTTTGACATGGAAAAAGCAAATTGTCATTGAATAAAAATAAGGCTGACAGGGTAAGCCAGATGTGGGTTTTTTAAAAGGTGGATTACTGATTAAGATACTTTTATGGAAAATGCTAGAAAATAATTGTTAAGACGTGATGAATACAATGGAACTCAAATACACATCAGTGTTTCATCCATCTACTTAGTCTTGCTGTCTCTTTCTATTGTGAAGTTTCTAAGCATCAATTTATGCCACGTTTCATTATTACGAAGACATTCTCACTGTAGAGACAGTCTAAATTGTATTTCCTCACTTTATGTGAAAGAACTGGTGTGTAGATATTGCTTTCCACGGTGTCAAATGTATGTTTTTACCTCGCATGTAGCAGTCCACACAGATCATGTTGCTCTTCTCTCTTGACAGCAAGCAGACCACCTGTCTCTGTCCTGTCCACATGATCCCATTCTGACACACTAAAAGTGAGACTTCACCCTGAATGTCCGTCATTTATTAAGTTTGTACATATATAAATAGTTTTATCAAAGGAAAATAATCTACTTAAATCTCAATTCTAAAGTGTTTCTCAGGGACCGAGAGGTCTTCGCAAGTTTTAAAGTGGGTCAGTTTGGTATAATCGTACGTGATACCTATAGACTACTATTACCACTGGACCTAAATATTGTTTTGCAAGTATGTTCATCGTCAAAGACATGCTATTTTCACACACATTTCTTTTGGGAAAGAACAGAGTAATATCAAAATCTTCCTACCCATAGAAGAGCTCAACAACCTGTTGAGCTGATGCAGGAAACTAGCTTTTCATGGTCAGAGAGATGAGGTCACTGGTTCATTCAACGTTTTGGTGCCTAGAGAATTAGCATAAAACCATAGGCTGATGATCAGTTTCCAAATAACCAGTGTATAGTACAGTGCAATAAAGTTATACCGATTCCAATTTAATCTTTGCTTTGTGATTCAGAAATGCTTCAGGGTGTTATATTGACTTTCTAATTGTGTATGGAAATTACCATTAATAGTGTTCCAGTGACTGCTTGGAAACAGGGAGTTCATTGTATTGATTTATTTATTTTTGCTAATATTCTTTTGGGGGTTTTTACAGGTCAGTCACCTAGACAACCTGGAGATTTGTTTTCTATTATATTGATTTATTTCATTATTATTATTAGTAGTAGTAGTATTTGCTTTTGAACATGTTTAAACTGCTATAGGAGAAACTCTGGTGAAACGTACTCAAGTAATAACATTATTCCAAAACATAAAAGTGCTGTTAGAATTCAGTAAACTCGTGTTTACTGATTCCTAATCTGGAAATCATGACCATCAATACCTGTAATATAATACTGAAATAATTTCGAATAATCACTAGTTATTAGCAGTGGTGTGGTAGTAAATGTTTAAGAGCTGGCTCTTTGGAGAAGTCGAGTGAAGTCCTGATTTGTATGTAGCACATGCCAGTTTCTGTGGTGTAAATACTCTCATCATGGTCAATTTCAGACTACCCATGTGATGTCACTGTGGCCAAGACTAGCAAAGAGATGTGTACAGGTGGTTCTTGTGAGCTTCTGGGCGCCAGATCCAGCACACAATTGGAGTAGAAATTTAAGAAGTGCAGCCAGTTGAATCAGTTAATATATGTAAAGCACTTACAATTCTATTTGCACAGACATTTCTTCTGGTAAAGAACAGAGTAATGTAAAAATCTTCCTACCCACAGGCAGCGCTCAACAGCCTGTTGAGTTGGTGTATAGTGAACTAGCTTTTTATGGTCAGGGAAATGATGACATCCAGTTCATTCATCATTTTGGTGCCTAGAGAATTAGCATAAATCCATAGGCTGATTATCAGTTTCCAAATAATCAGCATACATTGATTATTACAACAGCATCTAGCACTATTGCAACAGTGTCTAGCTTACAATGGTGTCTAGCTCACAGTAAACCCTAAATAATTGTTTGTCATAGCTTGGTGTCAGGTGGGGTGTGATGGGATTAAAGGAGCACCTTTTCGGTTAGTTTTCTTAAAAAAAATACAATAAAGGATGATTGTAATTCATAGAAAATGACAATTTCAGTGATATCAGCAAGGTATTTTAGAAACTGACATGGCCAAGAAGTTGTTACATTGCAATCTTATGATGGTGACTTTGTTTTTTTAGTGCTACAGAGTAAGGTGATTTCTTAATGGTCCCAACTGAGGCTTTGCTCTCTGAAGGTGCCATCTCCTTGTCAAAGCTGAAAGGCTGATATATTTAGCCTGATGAAGTCAATAGAGATTAGATCCATGGAAAGTATCTTCGCGCTGTGTTTTGAAGTGCTGCAAGCTGATCTTTTTATCAATGAGAAACTCCAGAAAGATATAGGAAGACCAGCATAAGGCATTCCCTTCACTATCTTTCTAAGCTGATTCACATGAATGACCAGTGCTCAGTGTTGAAAGGTGGATTTGAGATTCTACAAACATGGCAAAATACTTACTTTTCTGATGGCTTTAAGAAGGATCCACAATTTTAAATTTTACAAGTGATTAGAATTCCCCAGAAAAAAATAAAACATGGGAACACCAGAAACTCTTTGAAGAACACATTCATAGATGTCAAAGTTTAGATTTGATTCCTGAAAACATAGTTTTGTTATTAGGGATTTTTTTTTTTTTGTACTTTGTATCAGGCTATTTACAAAAGTGGATTTGGGGAGCCACAAAACTAGATGTTGTAAACCACATTCAGAAAGCTGATGAGCTTTTACTTCTCACTCTTGTTAAGAAGAAACTGTTCATCTTATTTAAGACATTTGATATTTTTCCTTGTTTCAGCTACAATATATGTCTGCTGGCAGTAAAACATATTTGCTGTGCTGACGTCATGGGGCACGAGTGGGATCAAGTCTTAGATAGGTAAAAATGCTCCTCAGAAAGGGTTATCATTGTTATTATATCTTTAACAACTTGGCGATTGTTAGAACATTTGGGAATATGAAACTAAACATATGTCAAACTAAACCTATTGATCCAGTAATGAGGTGATTTACACATGATACACCCTGCATTTTCCCTTGAAATGGTCACTATTTGTATAGTCAGTTTTCACCATGAGAAAGCTTAAGAAATCTCTGTCTTAGCACATTTGCGTATTCAAACATCCTTGAAATCCAAGTAAGCAGTTTTGTAGGGTGTAGGGATGGTTACGTCATTAGACCAGCCACATAATCCTGGTAAAAAAATATATTTTTTAATTTATATTTTTATTGTTTTATGTATAATTAGGTAAGAAAAAAAAAAAACATCGTTTCATAATTGTACCAATACAGCACATAGTCACAACTTCTCATGAGAATAGCACCAAGACTGACCCAGTTCATAGGCAAATTATGGACCATACTTCAAAGGTGGATATTTGTTAGGAAAATTAAATGTGTAAGGTGTGCCCTCAGAGTTTTAAAATGCAAAATTCTGTATGTATGCCACCACTGAAGGAGGATTCTTTACAAATAAGCATTAGAACCATGGTACATAACCCCTTAATTCTTTTATTGAGCAACAGGTGGTGTAAATCAGTCAATAGAGCAGTAGAGCATCTGTCTGCAGCTAACACAGGACTAGGATTTCTAACTATATATATGCATGATTTTATTATTAGGGTGATAGGATTCTAGAAAATGCTCTGACAGAAGAAGGTGTTGAGGGAGAGGAAGGAACGTTGATTTCTTTTTTGCCAGCAAAATCCTGCACATTTGTGAAGTGTCAAAGCATAATTAAAAGTAAAAAAGAAACAAAGAAGTGACCAATAGAGAGTTCTTGGAAAGAGATGTTCATTGCACATTGTAAATGGCTTTCAGTGTTTACATTGAACTAGCTAGGTCTTACTCTGCTAAAGTTTTCTTCAGTGGTAAGGCAGACATCTTGAATCTCATAAAAATTTATATCTGTATAATAAACAACAATGTCGTTGATACGGTAGTTAGAATTTATGAAACTTCTCCAGTTTCCCAGCAATGCATACAATCAGCATGATAATTTATAATGGTTTGTGACAAATACTGCTGAGCAAAGAGGTGTGTGGTTACATTCAGATCAGATGTCACCATCCAGGGAGCAATAAAAATTTCACAGACATTGGGTTAAAAACATTAAGGAAATGAATATGAAGCTCTAACAAAAGTCTAAAAAGGTGGTAGCATTGGGGGGATGAAACCCAGCAGTGCTTTTCCTACTGACCAGAAGAAAATCTTTCCTACTGACTTCAGTGTCTGATTTGACAATGCCGTTTCATATCATGACATAGATACTTTTTTCATCTATGATTTAGATTTGTGATCTTGCCTATGTGTTACAGGCAAGATCATGTAACAGGCATGTTTTTCCTAACTCACTGCATTCAAAGGAAGACTGCATTCTTGTAACTTCTTAAGAAGTTTAATCATAGTGAAATTATAAGGAAATAGAGATAATCTTTGTTTCAGAATTCTGTTGGAATAATTCACACGTTGTTTCTTTAATGCTATTTTAAAAATTACCTAA